TAGGCCTCGAAAATTTGATGGCCCAAAATTTACTTTAAATTGTTATTGTTGTTATTACTATTATATACTATATAATTTATATAAATAATTATTATAAAGAAAAGTATTACGTACGATATATTTTTTTATTATTTGATTGAGGTTATTTTATATCAATAAGTTCATAAATTATAGTAATTTTCTCACTCATTAATTAGTATATTTGCTTCACTCTTCAATTTTAATTTTATCATTCGACAGCATAATGAATTTCTTTTTAATGAATTCTTTTGCAATCTTCTCTGAAATTGCATGAACACAAAAGTATTCATGTACCGATTTTCTTTTAATGTAATTCAACATATTATATTAGGTTATTTACATTTTATTTTAGATATTAACCAATAAGTGCTACTAATTAATAAAATAAACTACAATTATCGTTTAAATTGATAGAAGGAGTATATATTTTTGATACCGTCAATGCTCAAAACTTAAGTTGTTATGTTATGTACGTTAATTTCTTTTTTTTTTAATTGTGATGATAGCCAAATCAAAGTTTTCACTTTGAGTTCTAGACCTCAACATCCGATAATCCACCACTTTGTTCTTTGTGCTCTTCTTCCTATATTTTTTTTTAAAATTCACTACTTGTTGTCTTAATTAACTGATTAATTTGGTATTTAGAAAGCAAATTTTTTGGTTAGTGTAAAATTTTTATAGAATAAATTTAAGGTCCTCTCAATATGGTTCGCCTTAGGCCATAAAATCCATTGAGCCGCCCCTGAGACTTGGTATTTCTCGTGGTTGATCTGATAATGATAATGGTGACCGGATCATAGGCTTCATGAAAAGAATTTTGAATGTTACAAACACTATTACTGAACTAATTGCTCTTATGCAAGGTTTTTCAAATTGCAGTTCAAAATTACTTGGCTCCTCCGGAAATTGTTTCAGAATCAGCCGAGGTAATTAACATGTTTCATACATGATATAAAATTTTACAGCTCTTTAATTGATGAATGCGGGTCATTGATGTCTAGGTTTGGGAACCTAGTGCCCAAACACTGCTACATGGAGCAGAACAGGGTCGCTGATTCGCTGATTTGGAAAAGTTTTTTGATAGGCTTAGAATTTTAGCAATTCCTCCTATATTTGCAAATAAAGTATTTAGGACAGACAATTTAGGAACCACTTTTACTAGGCTAATTATGGTTGTAATGCTAATGGTGATATGGTAATTTTAATGATCAGAAAACACCCTTGAACAATGAGCTATCCCGGTGCCCTCCCTCTTTTTTACGACAAAAGCAGATACAGTAGCAAAACTAATTGAATAATCTGGATACTTTTACGTGCAAGTTTGAACATCCTACATTTGGGGTGAAAATTATTTAGATCCCCCAGCTTTGCTTTAAAAATCAAGCTCCTCCCTCAACTTTGAACAATAATCATTTTCCCTCCTTTATCCTGCACAATGCCTTTTTTGCCCTTGAATTTTTAATTCCCTCCTCTATATAATACTTATTTATTCTATAATATTCTTATGGTTATCTGTGATCTAAATTATATGATAATCAAAATCCAAAAATCTATATCTACAATAGAGAATAAGAGTGAAAGTTTACGAGCAAAGGAGGTAAGAGGATTCAATTGAATCCCATCGCCAGAAAATTAGGCTGCGAAAATAGGACAAAAACAAACTTTTTAGTTGTATATAAAATTTTGAATCCTTTGACATAAGAAGATGTATTAACGTGGTATAACTTTAATACATAGTTAATATGCATTACAGTAAAATAATAATCATACAGATAACGGTAAATTTATAACATTTATAAAAGGATTATTCTACTTATAATTTTAATGAACTCTAATTACAATCTATAATAGGTATTACATAATTTAAATTATCGCTAAAACCATAAATAAATAAAAAATTATATACTTCCTCCGGTTCACAATAAGTGACCAATTTGCTTTTTCATTTTGGTTCAAAATAAGTGTCCAGTTACGTAATCAAGAAAGAATTCAATTTGTTTTTATAAAATAATCCCTATTTACATACCCCTAAAAAGTTTTCTTACTCCTTACATTAAATGTTTAATTAGGGGTAGTTTAGTCATAGTAGGTATTTTTGTATAGAATTTAGTATTTTTTTAATGGGCGTGCTAAAAGCAAATTGATCACTTATTGTGAACCGGAAGGAGTAATAAAAAAGTATTAAATTGAGGAGGAAACTGAAAATTCAAGGGCAAAAAAGGTATTGTATAAGATGGGGGGGGGGGGGGGATGATTATTGTTTAAAGTTGAGGGAGGAGTTTGATTTTTAACACAAAATTTGGGAGGGTAAATTATTTTCACCCGAAGACAATTAAGTAAGATGTGCGCACTAGACAAAATGCATAATAGACGAGAAATTCGTATAAAGCTTGATTTTTATTACTTCCAAAATAGTCATAAATTTATGCTCTTTCATTGGTTAACTGTAGGGGACTAGGAGTGTATTTCCTTCTAGTATTATCCTTTAGCAAATTTGTCCCTTTCCTTTGTAGTGGTTTGATAGAACCCAATTAGCTCCATAGATCTTGGATATGGGTAAGTGGTAACGGATTCAAGCCTATGAAATAGCAGCCTCTGAAGTCTAATTCAGATGCCTTTTATTTATTTATTTTTGTTGTTTTTACTTGAAATACACTCTAGAAAAGATAACACTAAATGACAAGATAAAAGATGTTATATCGTTATGACTAAAAATATATAAATTTTATTTCAAAAAACTCAAAGATTATATGTCCAAATTTGCGGTCAAAATTGAGAAGTTTGACTCTCAAAATCCGAACTGCATTGAACAAATTGGGATGGATAGAGTAATATTTTTCTCATTCAATTTACTGATTTGCTTGCCCGTAAACTAACATATTGCATTCACTTCACAAGGAAAAGAAGACTTGAAATGCAAGTGCAAAATGAAAATATTGTAGAGATGATCATGCAATGGTTACATGAGAGACTCCAGTAACCATTTCTTGTTCTTCCTTTGGCCAGTAGCCCAGACCCTCTCTTTTAAAACTGTCTTCTGTCTAAATGAATCGACAGGTTCATCTTGCACTAAAGTTGTTTTAGTTAGGTCAAGTTAGCGTTTGTCTCTCAAAAATTGTACCTAAATTCTATAAATCAGGAGTCCATTTTGTTACCTGTCAGATCATAATTAAAAAAAAAAATCTAGTTTTCTCTTAAATTGATTTTTTGGTGCTTTCATTTTTGCCTACAGTTTCATATTCTTTTGGAGTACCGTGAGCTATTGTTGCAAGTCTATCCAACAATCACCTGCTATACCATAGGCCCTAAGTACAGCACACCCTGAATTACAGGTATTAGGGAACTTTACTTTCAATAATCAAGAGACTATCAGGAAATGGCTGGAAAAGGTACAATGTGATGACTCTGAAAGGGTATAACAACAACTCAGTGAAATCCCATAAGTGGGGTCTAAGGGAGGATAATATGTACGCTGGCCTTACCCCTATTTCGGAGGAGTAGAGAGATTGTTTCCGATGGACCCTCAGCACAAAAAAATAGAACGAGAAAAGACTAAACGATCCATAATTTAGAGAATGTATCTATGAGTTATGAGTTAAGAGAGTGGGTTATGAAATGTATTGCTAACTCTATTACGTATATTTATTTATTTTTGGCACATATATATAAGGTTCAATACTGAAACATTGGGTTATGTCGAACGCGTTCTTTTGAGGTTAGATCTGTCTAGGGGTGGTAAATGGGCGAGTTTGGCTGAATTGGTCGGGTCAAGATGGGTTAGGTCAATAAATGGGTCATTGCCCAACCCATCCAAAATGTACTTGGGCTAAGATGGGCTAGGTCAAGATGGGCTAAACAATAGGTCATAACCCAACCCGCCCAACTTGACTCATGTTTTAGAACCATACTCATCTTGCATAAACAAAGCCTTTTACCTTTTATACACCTATGTATAAAAGATAAATAAATACTAATATTATTTTGTGAATCAAAATATATTTTCTTAAATAAAAAATTAGTATTTAAAATGTGTACGTTGAAAAAATATTTTGCGGGTGGGAGGTTGGGGTGGGTGGGTGGTACAGAAAAACGAAAAAACAGAAAATTAAAAATACAAAAAAAAAATTGAGGGGGTTTGCAGGTTGGCGTGGGTGGGTGGTGCAAAAAAAAGAAAAAACAGAAAACAGAAAATTGAAAATATATATATATACATATATAATTGAGGGGGTTTGCGGGGGCGGGAGGAGGGGGTGCAGAAAATTGAAAATACAAAAAAAAAAAAAAGTAAAATTAGGGCAACTAAATAAATTTCTAGATTAGTTGGGTTGAGATTTATTTGTTTTGGGTGAGCTTCATGGGGTGTATTTGCGCTATTTCATGGGTCAGAATGAGCTATAAAAAATAATGGGTTAACTTGGACTCAACGTAAACAGACTCATGAGCTAAAATATTTATAGTCCAACCATTAATCTCTAGGCGGATTGGACGAATTGAACGGATTAAATGGGTTTGAACTCAAATTGTCACCCCTAAATCGGCCGCTATTAGGGGCAAGTGATGAGAAGGGATCCAATCTTAATTCTAGTGAAAGTGAATTCCTCCAACTCAATCATCATTCTAGATTGTTCCTTTGCCACTATTTTAGTTTTTGCCAGCAATCTTTTGTAGTTGAACTCAATCTAGTAGGAGATAGATAATGTGGATCAATCAAACGTCCAAGAATACCGCAGAGAAAGTTGCATCAGTGTCCAGTTGATACCTTGCTTTAGATTTTGTTACCCAAAGAGATGCTGTGGCCCAATATAGGGAAGAAAGAGCTATATAATGAAAAAAAATGGGCAGCAACCCATTTGACTGGGCACGGAGTTTAAGAAAAGAGAGAAGACTTTTGAATTTGTGGTGTAAAATAAGGCACATATATTTTGTGTGGCTATAAATCATTGCATAAAGATAAATTATTTTCAAATAAGGAAAGTGATCATTCTTTTTGGCACGGACCAAAAAGGAAATAGGTTCACATAAATTGAAACGGACGGAGTAATACATATCTGAATGTGGCCCATCAAATCAAAGAGAGACCAGAAAGTCTCAAATCTCAAGTTTGGTTAACCCAAAGAAGAAAAAGATATTCCTATATAGCTTTAACTTTTCTTCTTCTTCCTTTTGCTGAATATGATCAAGGTTCAATGAATCTAATTTCATCTCAACGAAGAGAGAAAAGCTGGTATATTACTTGAGATTCAAGCTGTTAGAACACCACAGATTCAAAATATTGGCTTTTTAGTGCTCAAATTTGCAGTTTCCATCTTCTACAAGGTACCTTCTTCTGAGAATCTAACTGCTAGTTACAGAAATAAAAAGAGAAAAGAAGAATGAAATTAGGCCCCCACTCAGGAAGCTCACCTGAAAAAGCATTGGTGAATCAGAGGCGAATCTAAGAATTTTTAAAATATGCGCCATTAAAGAAAGTAGAAAAAAGAAAGTAGTAAGTGGAAAGTGATTCATGCTCCTCTAGGTAAATAACTCAACATTCAACCAAGGGTGCCAACACATAATATTAGATAAATTTCTAAAAATATGTACATAAAATACCTAGTTTAACGGAGTTCATGTGCCCCATATATTGGCCTATAAATCCGCCCCTCTGTTGAATGCTGATTGATCAGTTGACGTAGTGTTGATTGTTGTTCAAGAATAAAGATCATGATATTTGAATCACAAAACAAACATGACATGTGAAATTAATGTGGAAGAGCCAAATCAAGTTGAGCTTCAGACAAAATTTAATAGCATTCATTAATTCCCTTCTGCTTTTGCAATTGCAAGAACCCAACAGAAAGGAGAATGGACTCTGCTTTAGTCGATCCAAATCACCAAAAGGTCCTTCTATCTTCTTAGAGCAACATCATGGGATTACCAATTGGCAGTCTAACACCTATATTGCGTAGACTCTCTAAAAATACTACTACACTTGTACTTAATCCTTAAAAAATACACTACTTTTAGAGGATCCGACATGCACCCAATAACATTTGTGCAGAGTTGGGAGCAACATAGGTCAACACAACAGCTAAAAACCTTAATTCCACCACATAGCCTAGAATATGCAAATTTGTGATGCTACGACCACCGTCTACATACAAAAGGTTAAGCAATTTTCACTCAAAGACGAGTACAAAGATTGGAATAAATCAAATGTCCTGCAAACACACAAATTTGAACAGAGGCAGATGGAGTCTGTGTCCTAATCCGGTTCAGCTGAACCTAGTATTTCCGACAAAGAACACAAATATAACATATATGCGAACAAAACTGACCCTCACAAAATAGAGGTAAAGGGTACAATACAAACCCAATGTAATCCCCCATGTAAAATATGGGGAAGGTAATGTGTACACACATTTTATCCCTACCTTGAAAGAAGAGCCAAGGGGAGAAGGTAAGGGGGAAAAAACTCAAATCTTTTAACGTGGGAGAATTCCCTACCTTTCTAGTATATTTTTTTCCCCTTAAAACAAAAAGGTACTGCAAATTAACCAACCTCCTCAGCAGTTCAAGGTTGTTGTCTCAATCCAGTTTCAACATCCCCTACATCAGAGGATATCGTTGTGTTCTGTTCCAGTAACGATTGTCGGCAAGTCGGACAAGAAGAATGTAAAGCCAACCAAATATCTATACACTTAACATGAAAACCATGGTGACATCTCGGCAAAACTCTCACTTTCTCACCATCCATAAATTCGCCAAGACAAATTGGACAATCCGTTGCCGGAATATTAACTCCTGATCCATAAACTGTCACCGGAAGTTGCCTAAGCGTGCTCTTTTTCAGCCCTGTCGCAGCTAAGCGTGCAACCGTTGCATTTTCTGACTCGAAAGCAAACCTCCGGCTACAACGCAAAGCTAATTTCACAATTGAATTTAGACCAAGAGCACATATTAATGCACAAAGTAGAGCTGCTAAAATGATCACCATATTAGTGTCGAAATTTGCTTCGTTTGAGTAGCCATGGTGTGGTTTGCTTATAGTAGTGCTAGGTGGGACAACAGGACGGGGATCAAGTAGTAGCCGGTAAGGACGATGATAAACCTCCATAATTTACAAACTTGACCTTCGAATTTCTAATCTTGGGTTTGATTTGTAGCAGGAAATTGCAGAATATAACCCAATTCTTGGCAGAAATTTTGAATATACTATGATGGGGCTAGTTATGCAAAATAACTAGAAATTTGCAGTGGACTAAGTCAATTCAAGTGCAAATTGAATGATAAAAATTATTCTCTTCCCTGCAGCCTTCTTCATCAAATTCTTGGAAGCGCTAATTGTGAATTCTGAGACTTTCTGATTGGGAAGATGGAGGGTACAATACTATAAAGAACAAGTGGTGGGGGCTTTGTGTTTATCTTTGGTCTACTTTTGGGGATGGTATGAAAGAGAAGAGATAAATAGAGACTCAAGTGTAATTATTTGATTGTTACCTCTAAAAACCAAGAATTCCAGTCATGTTATAAATATATTATATTATGGATATTCATTTAGTACTCCGTTGTAAATAAACTTCCTGAAGAAGCTTATCCATATGGGACTCCACCGTAAATAAGTTTATCTATTTAGTACTCTATTGGAAATAAGCTTCCTGAAGAAGCTTATCACTTCAGTACCCGGTTATGAATAAATATTACCCCCGGTAGAAGATTATCCATACCGGATATAATAAACTTATCTTTTCAGTACCCAGTTATGGATAAACATTACCCTCGATAGAAGATTATCCATATCGGGTATAATAAGTTTATCCTTTCAGTACTCCGTTATGGATAAACATTGTTCTCAGTAGAAGATTATCTATATCTGGTATAGTAGCAGCTTACACGGCAGCTTTCTTTCTTCTATAAATAGAAGAGATTTCAGTTCATTATGTACATCAGTTTGAATTCAAATAATATAACAGTTTCTCTCTATACTTATCTTTACTTTACAGTCTTTATTTTATAACACGTTATCAGCACGAGACTCTGACATCTCGAGCAAATACTTTGAAAGTATTAGAGGTAAGAACTTTCTTTTCCTAAATAATGTCAAATCTTTCTAAACTTGAATTTGTAGTCCTGGATATATCAGGCAAAAGCTACATGTCTTGGGTGCTTGATGCAGAAATTTATCTTAATGCGATGGGTCTGGCAGACACCATCAAGGATAAAAATCAGGCATCAAACCAAGATCGTGCCAAAACAATGATAT